GGGCACACTCAGCCGCGGGCCCTCCAGGGCACACTCAGCCGCGGGCCCTCCCAGGCCAAGACATACTCAGCCGCAGTCCGTCTCGGTGGTAGCAGCTCCCAGAGTAGGTGCCCTCCTGGATCTGCTGCTGCAGGCTGGTAGCCCTGGGTGCCACGGGTGTGGAAGTGACCTGAGCGCTTAGCCTTGGGTCCTCTGCTGACGGGAACGTATGCTCAGGGCTCACATCCAGTGTGGGAAGGATGTAGTCCGGGCTCTCCATGTCATGTGCTTTGTGATGTTCAGAGGACACCAAACAAATCTCAGAGGGTTCTGTCTGATCGTGTCCTAGATGGCTTTCCTGGAACTGCAGGCCATCACCAGGGTCAAAGTAGGTGCCAGCCAATAGCAACAGTTCCCTGTCCCCCAGGATATCTGGTCTCTGCCTATGGAGATGGCCCACATCCTCATCAGAGTCCACCACCACAGGAGAAGGTGTCTCACTGAGTTCAGATGTGGCACAGGAGCAGCTGGATGAAGCTCGTTCCGCCAAGTCGCTGAGGAAGAGCTCCTTTAGGTTCCAGGAATAAGAATTCACATCGGCCTCCTGGGCCTCCTGGGCCTCCACCACCTCTAGGACACCAGGAAGGTCAGTGGCCAAGGCATAGCAGGCCGAGGAGCTGCCCAAGTGGCTGCTGTGAAGGTCTCTGCCTCCAAGATCGCAGAAGGACATTGGGGCGGAGGGTGGGTGCTCTGCTGGGACCTGCTCACGGCAGGAGAGGCCCAGAGGCCCTGTGCAGCTCAGCTTAGGCAGCCTCTCCTCTGTCAAGCAAGTCTGCAGCTCCTCTCGGTTGTCCTGTGCCCCCAGCCAAGGCTCATCCAGAGTGGGCGTCCCAAAGGAGACACTTGCCCTCCCTGAGGGGCTGGGAGCCAGCTGCCGTAGGGCCCACTTGCTACTATAGAGAGGGCAGTGCATCAGGAGGCCCCCCGTTGCCAGCTGTCCTACAGTTTGGGCCTGGAGTCTGGCAGGATCAGTCCAAGGGCTAGGGCTGAGGACACCGATCAGCTCCTGCTGGGCCTCCAGACTCGGGCCACTGTCCCTGTCCTCAGCAGGGCCTGCAGGCTCAGAACCCTCACACAAAGCCCAGGATTTTGTATCCACTGGTTCAGACCTGCTTTCTTCCAGGGGACCCTGCCTGGGGTCCTCTGTTGCTGCAGGCTCCTCTTTCCCCAAGGCAGCACATTCCTGGTCTGTGACCAGTGACTGGTCATCTTGGGCTGGTGGGCTCCCTTCTGGGGCATCTTGCTGGTCCTGGAGCAACGAAGACTCACCATGGGTCACGGAGCTTTCCTCTGAGGTACTCTGCTGGTTCTCAGGCAGTGACTGTTCACTATGGGCTGGCGGGCTTCCCTCGGGGACACTTTGCTGGTCCACGGACGACGACTGTTCCCCATGAGCTGGCGGGCTTCCCTCAGTGACACTTTGCTGGTCCATAGATGACAACTGTTCCCCATGGGCTGAAGGATTTTCCTTGGGGACACTTTGCTGGTCCATAGGTGACAACTGTTCCCCATGGGCTGAAGGATTTTCCTTGGGGACACTTTGCTGGTCCCTGGGTGACAACTGTTCCCCGTGGGCTGGAGGGCTTCCCTTGGGGACACTTTGCTGGTCCCTGGGTGCCAAATGTTCCCTGTGAGCTGGTGGGCTTCCCTCAGTGACACTTTGCTGGTCCCTGGGTGACAACTGTTCCCTGTGGGCTGGAGGGCTTCCCTCAGGGACACTTTGCTGGTCCGTGGATGATGACTGTTCTCCGTGGGGGGCGGGCGGGCTTCCCTCAGGGACACTGTCTACCCTGGAAATAGGAATTCAGATGTCAGGCATTAGCAGTCACAAAAAAGGAGACAGGAGGAACCATTCTGTTAAAACACAAAGCATTTAACACCATAAAATTCACAACAAAAAAGATTAAATTTTGCAACCAAGTCAATACATAAAGCACCTACTCTCCAATACTGTCAGACAAATCCTCGTTTAGCAAGGCTTTATCAAGATGGTGCTGAGACTGCCACAGTGCAGAGACCCAGGCCCAGTGCTCAGCTCAGCCTGCACGCGGCCCAGGCAGCCTGCTGCCACACTGAAGGCCTGAAGTGAGGGGCCAGAGGGGACTCAGTGTCTGGCAAACTCCACAGCAGCCCACTGACTGGCTAGGAATGCCACCACCCTCACAGTCAAGTGGGGAGACGGTCAGGCCAGCCAACAGGCTGAAGGGAGAAGGTGGGGGTGAGGACAAAGAGAAACTCCCCCAAGTGCCTCCAGCAAGTGGTGAGCAGGGGGGAGGCTGCGACAGCTGACACAGTGCCCCCAGGGCACAGGCCCACACCACAAACTGTAGCCTGTGCCTGGCCACTGAGCAGCAGGTATGCCAAACAAGTGCACATCCTACAGCGCACAGAGGCAGGTTCACACCTGCCGCCCAGCAAGAATGCAGCAGTGATTCCCACTGACAGAAGAGGCCAGGGCCAGCACCAGGACAGAAGTGCAGAGGAGGGCACTGTCAGCAGGGGTCTGAGAAGCAGAGCTGTCCTGTGGGAGGGGGGGTGTCTGCAGAGGTATCCCTCCATGCCCACTCCCACCCTCTCTGTCCAAGCACTGCATGTCCAGAGATGAGCCTCGTGTGGCTCAGGGGACCATGCGTCCTTCTCCAGGGCCAGCAGAGGGGGGTCCACACCAAGGAATCTGGGCAGCCTCTGGATGTGGTGTTCCATGGTCAGGACATGCGGCCTTGACCTCAGGGCAGCTCTGTACTTTCACTCACCCCCTGAGGATCTCTGAGGTGCTAACCACTGGGGGCCCCCAGGGTCCATTTTCCTCTTTGATCACCCCATCCACAGCCCTCCCACCTTAAACCCCTGGGCCAGATGTGCTCTTGGATTTCAGAAAGATCATCAGTCACTTGAAGGAACTCCACAGGACAAACCCAGCATGAGGCCTCTACATACCCCACTGTGGGGTAGCAGGAAAACATCAATGGCTGCCCATCAGCTCAGGGCGGGTTTAATCATCAAACATGCTCCAGCATCAAATTTAGGGAAAAATTTCCATGTTGGGGACTTTTTAGATTTCAAGATGTGGGTTAAGGCTGTGAGCCTGCAGAGTCTCTACGTGTTAGCATGACCACGGAATGGCCCTCCCCAGCTCCCCTGGAGACCACGCTCTGCCCTCCACTCAGCACGGGAGCAAGGGGTGTGGCTGTCACGTGATACCGGGGAGTAGGGCACCTCCACTCCCACCTCCCAGAGTCCACACAGCGTCAGGAGCTGCTGGGACCTGCACCCAGGTCACCCCAGGGATCATAGGCCCCAGAGCAGGGACACCAAGACCTGCCACCGTGGAGACCCCTGAACCAATGTCACTTCATGTGGAGTCCTTTGGAGCCTCTGCCTCTCAGGAGAACCCCCTCAGCATGAGCATCAATTCACTAGAACAGCTGAGCCTGAGCGAGAATGCTGGGGCCAGAGGCGGCGGCGGCGGAAGCCCGACAGAACCCCAGAACACGTGCCTCCCTCCTCCTTCTGTACTTCCCACTTGGACTTGGTGACGCAGCAGCTTGCATTCCTAATTAGACCACAATGTCACAGAGAAGCCTCGACTCTCCGCCCGTTATCTGTTGAACAAGTGAGTGGGTGACTGAAGGGCTTGTCACGCACTACTCCGTGCTGCAGGTGGGATGGGAGCCGCTCCGCGGCAGAACCTCGGCCTTGTGTGAGCAAGGCACGGTTCCATCCTCAGCACCACCAACGATAACTACGCAAACCCCTAGGATCTAAAACTGTCCCACCTAAGAGAAAATGTAAGACTTAACCAATGCAGTGTAGCTTCCTCATTGAACAACACGAGCCTAGAAGAGGCACTCTGCCCTGATCCTGAGGAGAGCGGCTGGCGAGTGACCCCACTGGACACCCCACTCCTGGAATGATGCACTCACTGGCAGCTGGCAGGAGTAAGCAGCCCAGCCAGGCTGGGGCACTTGACCAGCATCGGCCACTCATGCCAGCTCCCAGCTCCCCTCATCTGCAGATGGGTACGCTTCTCATGCCACCCAAAGCAAACCTGAGCCAGGAGGGAGCCAGGGAGACGAATCAAAGGAACACCCTGACACCAAACAGCAGGGAAGGAACAACAGGTGCTGTTGGGGGTCTTGCTGGGAAGAGGTGCTGCATGGGAAGAGGTCAGCAGGCACAAGCACACACAGCCAGGACAACATGCAGCAATCCTGTCCTGTTAGACAAAAGCCAGGCACAAGGGTACACACCACACACACACACACACACACACACACACACACGACACACATCCATGCTGACTCGCATAGGGGGAGGGTCTGGAGGGTTGGAGCTGCTGACAAGTGTCCTCAGAGTGGGAGGAGGCAGGTCTGGAGAGGGCCAAGGGGAGTCCACCTGTCACTGCTGCTCTGACCTTGAAACACACCCATGTACTCCTTTAAAATAAGTCCAGGAAGGCTGCCACAACAACAAACTAAAGAAGGCAGACCCAAGGACAAAGGGGACAGCTCAGGCCCAAGGACAGGAAACTCTGACGTATGCTCCAATGCATGGTGGTAAGGGTACAGAGCAGGAGATCCGGGGGCAGGAAAGACCATGGATCTGCCCTCCATGTGCACACCTGAGGCTCAGGCATGCTCCTGAACACTGTGCGTAAAATAGGATTTTAAGCCGGACATGTGACACATACCCTTGATCCCAGCCACCTGGCAACTAGGCAGGACAAGGACCCCTAGTATGAGGACAGTCTGGACAACTTAACAAGGCCATCAAGATAAAAATAAATTTAAGAAATTAGGAATGTAGCCCAGGGCTAGAATACCCCAGCTTCAATGCCCAGCACCAAAATATAATTTACATATATATATATATATATATATATATATGTATGTATACACACACACACACACGCACACACATATATGCGTTTTACATATACATCTACATGTTTTATTCGATAATACGTATATATTTTTTTAATGAAAAAACTAGCTAAAAACACCAAAATACTGAGCACAATAGGACTGAGAAGCAGAATCAGTGAGCCTTTGTTCCTGTTTTCCCAAGTCATCTAACATAAACGTCCTTCACTCCATGTAGGATACTTTATTTAAAAACGTGCAAAGAAAACAGCTTCATATGATCTCCACAATGCTCAGGCCAGGCCAGCTTCAGCCCTCTTAAGTCTACCTAAACGCCCCTGACCTCTGACAGCCACGGGATAAGATGGCATTGTGGGCACCCCGTCCCACGGCAGAACACTCAGTGGGCAACCTGGGAGAAACACGTCACCATTCAGACAGGGCAGGTGCTGGGTTTGTGGGAGCCAGGTGCATCACCGAACTGCACCCCCCACCCTGGGAGCAGCTCCTCCACCAGCCTGCACTTCCCACCAGCACTCACCCCGGTGAGGGCTCCGACGAGGAGGAAGGGAGCCAGGCTCCTACTTCCTGCTGTGTCTGAGTAGGGGAGATGTCTTGGCTTCTTGCCAGCTGCAGGGGCTCCTCTTGTGGCAGCAGGCGGTCACCAGCACGTACCACGTTCACCTTCAGATCTGAGAGCAGAATCGGGAAGGCCTGCACCCTACTCACAGCGCTTGCTGCCCGAGCTGCTGGCACCCGGCGTCCCAGGGGAGCACCACCCACAAGGGCCACGGCCCAGCCCGATGCGCACAACGCACCCTGCTAGTACCTGACACTCACATCCTGTCCCCACTGCTCCTCCCCACTAGAGAGCAGAGACCCCGCCCAGCACCCCCACACTACGTCACCTGGATCCTCAGACCCCATCAGGGCCCAGGGACCCCAGAACCACACCTGAGGGGTCGAGGGCAGAGCGTGACCAAGGGTGCCAGGGCCCCTGTCACAGGCCCCACAGCCTGCCAGTGTCCTGAGCTACAGCCGGCTGCTGGGCACAGGAGGCTGGGAGCTTCTCCCCAGAGACCAGCAGGCTGAGACTGTCCACACACAGGGCTCAGGAATACTGTTGACATGTTTAAGTGCCAAGTAAAAACCAAAGGGGTGAACGTTACAAACTCCACAAACGTGCCAGCAATATCTGACTTAGGAATAAAGAGGACAGCTCATCCACTCCATCTTGGGCCACGTGGACCTACATGAACCCCTCCCAGAAGCCAAGACTGTGGCTGAGGCTCGACAGGGCACGACTCATGGCTTCTTGAAGCCCTTTCCTTCAGCTTCTCGCTGCCAATACGTTTGTAAGAAGAGCCCCCACACCTTGCCCTACCGCTGGCGAACAGAAGGCCTGAGAGAGACACAAACACGGAAACAGGACTGGTGCCCCTCACTCAGTCCCCAGCCACGACCCTAAGCCCATCTCTGGTAGGAGGCATGGCCCTGGTGGGGCTGGGCCGCCAGGGGCACACTGGGGAGAGAAGGCATGTCTCACCCTGGGCTCCGCTGCCGGGGTCCCAGCTCATCTGCCCAAGCCTGCTCTCACTGTGGATGTCCAGGCAGTCGGCCAGGTCTGGTAGCTGTGAAGAACTGTCACAGGCAAGGTCCATGTAGTGGTAGAAACCAGGAATCAGGAAAGTGATATTCTGGGAGGCAAAAAGTGACAGTTCAAGACCTGGGGGACTCATTATGCCCCCTCCTGGACACATTCTGCTGGGGCTGAAATGAAAACAACTGGCAAAAAAATTAAACAAATGGAGCAAGTCTCTGGACAGTTCCTCCTAAGGTCAGGAAAGACACTGGGGTCAAATTTTCAGACATGAACCAGTCTGAAGCCACTGCAATTGTGACCCAAACCTGGTCCCATCAGCCAGACCAGATCTCACTGGGAACAGCACTCCTCTCCCTCCCCGGGGTGACTCTGGAATCGGCCAAGGGAAATGACCTGGTGGCCGTCAGCAAGGCTCCCCGCCAGGGCCCGTGGTCCTTCCTGGGTGAATCTGTGAGCCACCACCCCCATACACAAGGGCCAGCCTCCCAAGTGGGTGGAAAGCCCGCAGCCCCGACGAGCCCACCTTGCCCAGGAGCTCTGTCCTTCCATAACCAAACAGCGTCAGCGCAAAGCTGTGGTTGATGCCGTAGATGGTGCCATCCGGCAGAAGGGTCACAAGCCCACTGATGGTGCAGAACACCCAGACTGATGCCCAGTAGTCCAGCTCGGGGGCCTCCTTGCTGCTGGCCACCTCCGGGTCACTGGGCTTGGCCTTCAGCTTTAGGCTCAGAGGGAAGGTGGTGCCATCCCTGGCTCTGCCAACAGACCTCTGGATCTTCAGACTCTACGAGAGAGGTGCCAGGCTCAGCAGGGCAGCTAGGCTGGGGGGCTGAGCAGACCTTCTCTGCTGTGAGACCCCCTCAGGAAGCACAGGAGCACCTTACATCCACACCTGCTGTCCCCCAGCCCCACCCTGCCTGGGGAATGACAGCAGGGGACACCAAGGACTCAAGAGTGGCCTGGGTATAGCACATGCCAGGGTATTCAAGAAAAGCCTAGTGAGCTAACCAAGACATGGGCAAGTGAGGGACCAGGGCTCCAGCTGTCCAGGGTGGGTAGCTGTGCCACCCGCACTCTGGGCACTGCCCTCAGTTCTGCGTGGAGGAAGAGCTCGGAGTCCACTGGGACTGGGGGCCCCCGCTTCCTGCTGTCACTGACTCCCCATTGCCTTCTCGGCTCCTCCCTCTGCCACACCACCAAGTGCATGTATCACACTCCCCCTGCACGTCACTGTCCCACCACATCCCTACTAGGACTCCCCCCCAGACACTTCAGAGGCCACTAGAGAGTGAACCAAAGAGCACTTTACCACTGAGCTACATTGCAGACCTTTATAATGGTTTTTTCTTTGGAGACAGGGTCTCACTAAGTTGCTGAGGCTGGCCTCCAACTTGCCTCCTGCTTCGGCCTCCCGAGTCGCTGGGATCACCATGCCCAGAGAGTCCTGTCTCTTGACTAACACAGTGTTCCCAGCCAGACACTTCAGAGTCTTCAGGGGCTTCAGGGTGGTAAGGTAGACCCAAGCCTTTGCCCCCACCCTGTTTAGGGGCCCACCCTTCCAGACTGGAAACCTGCAGCCGCCAGGCCGCAGACGGGCAGCACAGCGCCCCGACCCAGCCAGAGGCAGGCCCAGGCCCCAGTGAGCCCTGTGAGGACAGAGTACAGATCCCTCTGTGTTGGCTGCCAGCATGTCCCTGTCTACCCCTGAGGGACATGGTAGCCCACTTGGGGCTAAGAACACACTCACTTGTGCTTTCTGCCTTGCCTTACCAGGGTGTATCTCTGGGGGAGAGGGCTGTGAGCAGGTGCTGCCAGGCAGTGCCCAGGGTAGACAAGTAGACAGCCCTGCCAGCCGTGAAGCCCACGTGGCCAATGCTCAGAGCACAGGAGGTGGGGACAAGGGCTCCTCCTAGAAGCTGGAGAATCTGATGTAGCAAAAGAGGCTCAGGGGCTGAGTTTAGAGAGCTACACCCAGGGAACACTCCAGATGACTCTCGTCTCGCCAGAGGAACTGGCACTGACCAGAGACCAATAGAGCAGTCAGTCCCCACCTGAGGAAGACAGAGGTGAGCTTGGGACAAGTCCCCCGGGGAAGGGCTGGCACACTGGCCGAGCACTCCACCACGCCCAGACCCCACCACCCACTTCCTGTGGGACACAGCCGTCCTGCCTCCAGGGCGTGAGGGCCACCTGAGGTGTGGACTTGCCTGGACAAGCAACACCCAGAGCTGAGCAGCACTGCCTCTAGTGCCTGTGAGGGGCTTCCAGGACACGGGCATGTGCGCACACTGATGCCGAGACACTGGGGGTGGCTTTGGACTTCAAAGCACTGCTTTCGTTCGTGTTCCCAGGTCCTCAGGCTTTCAAAAATGTGACAAATCCACACCCGGGTCAATTCCAGAGTCTCTAGCTTATAGATGGCGGGTCGTGGGCTATGGCCTTGTGACCACAAAAGGCAAGTCCCTAATAAATCCCCTCTTGTCTCTATATATGTGCATCCCATTGGTCCAGGTGGAGAACTCTACTGGTACCCTGTGAGCATGCTGCCCTCCCTGTGCACATTGACAAGAGAACTGAGGAGACAACAGCGGTCAGCTGGGAGAACACACAGGCTTCAGCCCTTGGCCACACCTCGGAGCACAGAGGGCTGAAGGCTGTCCTGTTGTCAGGTTACGGATTCAGAACTTGACGCCCACCATGTGGCCCAGGTGGTCAGCATCCTACCTTTGGCACAGGCTGGCCAGGAGGAGGGAGCTGCACAGATGGAATGAGGTCTGGGAGATGCTGTCCAACCACATCCTCACCCGAGGCAAAGCCATGGAGATGAGCGAAGAGGCTGTCACAGGCCGTGATGGTTCCCTGGAGAAACACACGGCACTCGTAAGGGTTGCAACAAGAGCCCTGTGCACCTGGGCTTGAAGCTGCCTAGACTCCAGTGCCTGTGAGCCAAAAGCAAGACCATTCTCACATTGGGCAGAAGTTCAAGAGGCACACGGAGGGGCTTTCCCAAGAACACCTCCTCTTGTGCCAGACGTGCCTCGGCCTCTGACTTCCTCACGTGCTCTCTGGAAGCCCTGGCCTCAGGAGAAGCTCTTTTTTATAACAATACACTCAGGTGCTGTCTGCAGTGCTGGCATGTTCTGAGGTTTTTCAAACATCATTTCATTTTATATAAGAACAATCTCATGAGTGGATACAGCTCCTCCCCCCACCTCACGGAGAGGATAACTGAGGCATGGGCACTAAGTTCCCTGCCCAAGGGCACACAGTGAGGGGCGCCGCTGGCAGACCCCCAGACACCTTCCTACTCCTCTGCTCTTCCCGGCCAAGCCATGGAGAGCACTGGCTGAGGTGCGTGCAGGAGGCAGGACTGGGGTCCTGGGCCAAGGAATGGACACACTCACGTCACTCTGGAAGGCGACCCAGGCTGAGACCCTCTCCACAGGCTCCAGGACCACCACACAGCACAGGCCACGCTCCTGCCGCACTCTCTTCATCCACACAGAGACTGGAATCTTCTCCCCACTGCGGCTGACGATGTCCACCTGCACACACAGACAGGCTGCACTGGGGACCCTGGCGGCAAGCACGGGAGAGGGCTGCCACCAGGAGCCACCCTTGCACACCCCACACCTCAGTGTGTCCAACTTCCCACGCCTACCTTCCATCTTGGAAACTCACCAAGGGTAAACGAAGGGTTTTGTTTGTTTGGGGGGCGTGGAGGTGGAACCAAGAACACTTTACCACTGAGCACACACCTAGCCCTGTTTTTCATTTTGAGACAGGGTTTCTCTGCATTGCTGAGGCTGGCCTGGAACTTGTGATCCTCCTGTCCTCAGCCTCCTGAGTCGCTGGGATTACCAGTGTGCACCACCATGTCCAGCTGAACAAGCTTCTGATACTTAGGGTTTTAGTGTCTGAGTGAATGTTTTACTAAGATTCTTTTTTTAATCCTTAGTGTCATGGTTCATCTTGTCTAATTGACTAGATTAAGGGACACCTACAGAGTGGTAAAGCACACTGTGGCATGTCTATGAGGGTGTTTCTGGTGGAGAAGATGCACTCTGAATGAGGGCAGCACCACCTAGCAGACTGGGGCGAGGACGGAACCCAGGGGTTGGAGAAGGACCCTCACACACACACACTCGGTCCTTCTTGGGTGGATACGTGTTTTGCTGCCATTGTCTGTGGACGTCAGACTGCAGGAGGCTCTTCGGCTTTTAACACAGACTTGAACCAACAACTCTGGGGTTCTGGGATCATCAGATCTGATTGGGCAGCATCGACGCCCATCTTGTTCTCAGGCTGCAGCTTCTCGGGCTCAGCACATACTGGTTTCCCAGCTCTCTGGCCCACAGAAGGACACTGTGCAACTCTCTGGTCTCAGATTATATTAGCAGCCTAATAAATGCCCATTATGATTAGATACATCCTATGGGTTCTATTCCTCTGGAAAAATCTGACCAATACACTCAACTCCGTGGTAAAACAGCAGGAAAAAAGATCAGCACCTGGTATTCCTTAAAGCGGCAGACACCAATGTGCTAAGTCCTACAATTTCCCTCTATAGCAGCAGGCCTCTTAAACCAGGAACCTCCTGATGCAGCTGACCCTCTCCAAGTCTCTTCCGTGCCCGGGGCTCAGTCCTCAGCATCTAACAGCTCAGCTCACCCATCAACATCCAAGTTGGCCCCAGAAGCACAGAGGAGAGACCAAAGCTCTCCAGGGAAGCTCCCCCAGTCACACCAACCAGACATACACCAAACAGAAAATGTGGATTAGATGCAAGAACTGGTCCAGACAATGAAATCACACCCCTCTTCTGGGATTCTCACGTGGTGCCTGCAGGTTTGCCACACGCCAGCCACACCGCACCCCCCATCACACCAAGATGGGGCTCTCCAGGTCACCCGGTGCTCGTCCTGAGTCCCCAAGCCCAACCAGCCAAAGACGGAAACAGAACCCAGGGCCGTGTTTTCAGTTGAAGATGCTACCGTTGCTGCTACGAGGGCCCCACGGCAGAGGGCAGCTCAAAGACAGAGTCCAGGCAGGGAAACCAGGGCTCTTCCGCCCCGCGCTGCTCGTGCCTTGAGGCCTGGGCGCTGCACCCCGCTCACCACTGTGCTGAACACTACGGCGGCGTGGCCATCCGCTTCCACATGCTCCTGGCTGAGGGCTTCCACCACAGCGGAGTCCGACTTCAGGAAGAACTGTGCCAGCTTTTGGCCAATCAGGTCCTGGCTACTGTACCCCAGGAGACTGCAAGCTTTGTCATTAGCAACCAGGATCTGAGGAGGAGCGGAGAGAAGACACAAACATCACCAGCAGCCCCTCTAATTCCCAGAAGCAGAGTCGAGGACAACACAAAGCTGGTATGGCAGCCCAGGGGCTGGTCCTTCCCCAGCAGGGCCCCACCATCATCATTCACATCCCATCAGAGGTGAAGACAACACCCACACATGCACCCAGAGGCCTCAACCTCACAGACACAAAACCTGGCCAGTGCCAAGGGCACCCAGGACCCCTGAACCAGGCAAAATAGCACATGGCAATCAAGACCATAGAAAATATGGGCATTTCCAGCAAACTCTGATCCAGTCTAGCAATTCCTAGGTGCATTTCACACAGATGGTGCCACTGTACTGAACATGAATACCGAGTACCCATTCTCGCATAGTTGTGCCAACATGTACAAACACACAGTGCACCTGAGCCTTTCCCAGCACCTGTTCTGAGAAGAGAATCAAATTTGTTCTAATTGATTATAGTTAGTTCTCCAAATTCTCATCTTTTGCTACAACATAGCTAAAATCAAATGTTTTTCTAATTGCACTTGAAACACAAAAAACCGTTTAAGGTTCCAGGTACAAACCCCAAATCACATCCATGGCCTGGTCACAAACCAAAGCCAGTACCTCTGTGGTCTTGGCGTCCACAGTGAAGACAGCCTTGTTAGGGTTGCACACGGGGGCTGGGAACGGGGGTGCAGTGCTCCCGGCAGACAAGCCACGCAGCAGGGAGCAGCAGGACGCACTGCCCAGGGACCCAGCGGCATCCACGAGCTCAGGCGCCAGAGGGCAGCGCAGCTTGCTTGTGCAGATGTTCTGGGCAGCTAGTGATGAGAGGCAGTAGGAGCTCCATCTGTCTTCTGAAGAAAGAATGAAAGGAAGTGTGAGACCTTACATAGCTGCTTGGAGCTCCCTTCTAAAACAGAAAGAGCACCAGCCCTCACAGGATCCAAGGGTCTGGTCCACCTGCAGGGCTGACTCCCACACTGGACCTAAACCAGTCCTAACGTCCATTCAGACAAGCCTCAGGCACCCAGTTGGGAGGAAGGCACTGCCTGCTCAGAAGCACCAACAGCCTGAGCTCAACACTTGGGTCCAGTCACACTCCGAGGGCCAACTCCCCCAAGGAGCCCAAGCACCTCTCCAGTGACAATCACTCCAAGGCGCCACCATCCTTCCAAAAGCTGTCACCCAGTTCAAGAGCTGCCTGCACCACACCTCCCCGTCCTCACACCGGCTCCCTCCCTGCTGCTCCAGAAGAGCTATGCTGCTGACCCCTCCCACGGCTCCCAAGGGACCTGGCCCAGCCTCTGTCCCCACCCTACTCAACTGGGCAGCACAGAGCCACCAGGAGACTCCTGCCTGCAGCAGCCTTCCAGGCCAGGCCCCCTCCCCTCCGGCACAGGAGCTCTTTCCCCTTCTACACGCCCCACCAAGAGTGCACGGCTTCTCAGTGCCATGGGCTCCCTCCTCACCTCCATTTTTGCAGGGGCTCAAAGCCAAAGGCACACAACCCGAGTCCCTGCTGCCTGCCCTTTGGACATCTCCTCCATGTCCCTCACCCAAGGTCCAGACTTCTTCAGCAAGGAGCCTCTCCCTGACCATCCCCTGCACTGGCAGCCAGAGGGCCACGCTCTTCCTCTCCTCTCCCAAGAAGCAGCTGGTTCTCAGGCCTTTGGCTCTTGCCCTGTTCCCCATGCAGCACCAGAAGGATCATCCTAGGGCCAGTCTATAGTGTCAGCGCCTTCTGAGAACCCGGCAAACCTCACAGCTGGCTCCCTGCACAACCTCTCGCCCCTCCTAGGACCACGTCCAGCAGCCTCAGGACCAAGGCAAACTTGGTTCCCACACCTGCTGCCCCATCAAGCTTACCCTTGGCCTCGAAGCTGAACCTTCCCCCTTCCTTACCACTGTGCTCTGGCTCCTGGCTGCATCTGCTATCCCAAAAGACTGCCCTGATGTCCAGGGCCACGGCAATTCCCTGCAGACACCCTGCTGTCTCAAGACCCCATCATACGACGTGCCTCTTACGGGCAGGCAGCACTTCCTTCTCGGCCATAGCCCAGCAATAAGCTAGCTGTGGGGTGGGGGGCCACACTGAAGTGGCTGCCCTTGTCCTGTCCCTGTGATGTGCAACCCAAGGGCAGGGCCCTGTCTTTGGGGCTCCAGGCCAGGTGGAAAGCCCCTTCTTCCACAGTGAGCTAATCAGCAAGCTAATACTTTCCTGGGGATGTGGCCCAGTCTAAGACAGTACCCTTGTCCACTCCTAGTAAGAACTACACTTTCTTCTAATCTGGCCTTGAAACACAGAGTTTCACATGGAGGAGATGTCCACTGTGTGCCTGAAGCTCCCAGCAGGAAGGCCAGAGGCAGCAGGAAAGTGCTTGGCCAGGCCTCGGCAAGTGAGCTTTCCCACAGACCCACTTTACGCCACTGGCAACAGGCTTCCTGGGGGAAAGCAGTGACTCCACGTTCCCAAGCTGCAGGGCTGATGCCCATAATGATCAGAAAGGAAGTCATTACCAGAAAGCGCTATTCTGCTCTGGCAGAGCTTAGAAAGCCCGTTCTTCCTGCTCAGGTGTCTGTGGGCTGAGGAGAATGGCTTGCTGGACCCAGAGGCAGCCTCTGCAGCTGGGCCCTCAGCGGGCACTGGCACAGGTAGGCTCCCAGACAGGCATCTCCGGTCATCATCGAAGGCCAGCAAGCCTCTGGCTTCCATGGTAGCAGGTGGGACAGGCACTAAGCTCCCTCCTCTAATAATTCTCACCTAGAAAACCAAGAGCATCTGATTAACATCAGCCACACAAGAATCCACGGCAGTTCGACTGGCAGACTGTGCCATACGAGTTCAGCAGGTCCCACACACCCATCGCCGTCCCAGGTCGGGCTGCAGCCAGTGCTGTCAGTGCAGAGGTGCGCTAAAAGCAGCCCTTTCTAGGAAGGGCTGGGAAAGCAGGACGGAGCAAGAGGGAAGGGGCCCCAGGAAGGGCAGGAGCTGCCGTCCACACCAACACAAAACGCTCCTCGGTCAAGGAGATGCCCAGGGTGGCCACAAGAAGAGCCACTGTACAACCTGCGGGCCCAGCTGCATCTAGAACCACCTGGGCACATCCCCAAAAGCAAGGCAAGAGTCTGCTTCGCCTGGGGGCAGGACTAGCACCAGAGGTTTGTGGTTTTGTTCTTTTGTACTTGTAGGTTCCAATGCAGACATGGGGGAAAACACAGAAAGATTCCATGTGGCTGTCGCTGAGCTTCCTCCCAGGACCACATTTTGTCCACGTGATGCCACACCAGGAAGCCGACATTGCCACAGCACTCGCTGCACTCACCTGCGCCTTCCATTCTGTGCAGTCTTGTCATGTGCAGTCATGTGACCAGCTCCCAAGGGAGACCCTGACCCGGCAAGCACGTGAAACACAAGCACACCTGCTCCAGTGCTCCAGGGCCACTAAGAAAAGCTCCTCTGCTCGGAGGAGGCACGGCCCCACTTGGGCACCCACAGGTAGACAGAAAGGGCACACTGTGGTCAGTCCCAGGGCCACTGGTGGGAGTTCCCACAAAGTGGAAGGCCACAGGGCCAAGAACACCCAGAGCCCGTACTCCTCCTTACAGATCACCTTCTGCACGTCTGGAAGCCCAAAATTCCTGACCAAATGTCCTGGACCCCTCTTCCAAGGCCCACATGGCTCTGCACAAGCCATACCCAGACCCAAGAACTGGCCGAGGAGTAGCATCACAAGACCAAGCCTGGACATGCAGGTGTGGTGTTCACCCATGCTCACAAGCCCCTCCCAACACAGGACAGACCCGCAGCAGGAGGAAAAGGGAACTGACCCTTCTGAAACCCCCACATTCCACCAAGGAATTCCAAGGAGCCCTGCTCCTCAGGTCGTGATAAAGATGTATCTATTGAGACTGGAGGAGCACAGCTACCGCAATTAACAGGTTTTGAGTCTGATAGTGATGACATACACTCATCACAACAGGGGGTCTCCACTGCACCCACACCCCTGTCCCTTGAGTCTAAGGGCCTGACCACTGCTCACCTCAGCTGTCAGCTCCTGAGATCAGCAAGGCAGGTACCACTTAGATAAAAGGAAAATGAACAACCCCACCCAGGCCAGTTGTGGGAGGGTGGTGACATCAAAACATGCCACCAAGCAATACAAGTTAAACATGCAGGGCTGGGGATGTGGCTCCAGCGGTAGCGCGCTGGCCTGGCATGCGTGCGGCCCGGGGTCGATCCTCAGCACCGTATACAAACAAACATGTTGTGTCCACCAAAAACTAAAAACTAAATATTAAAATTCTCTCTCTCTCTCTCTCTCTTTAAAAAAAAAAAAAAAAATTAAACATGCAAACAGGACCATCAATTCCAGGAGACAGGCCACCAGAGCACAGGAGCCTGGCACACAGCAGAGGGCCATCTTCATTCTCAGGAATTGATGGGGTACTCAGCAGCACAATGTTCCAAGGATCGCTTCCTTGGGTAAAACGCAGGTAATGGCGACTCACCTGGCAGCACCCTCGGGAAAACTCAAAAAGCTAAGTTGGGACTGGCAGGTTGGTGCCTAATAATCGTGATCTGCTTATTTTAAATGGAGTTAAACAGTCTGAGGTAGAATTGCACCCCTTTGACTTCCCATGTACAAACAAGCTCAAGAAAAATCAGGAGCGAGAGCGTGAAGAGCCTACGACTCAGCAGCAGTGCACCCTGTGACAGGAGTGTGGCTTCTGTGCACCTCCGAGATGCAGGAGGAAGGAGGTACTTCAAAGTGTAAAAGAACACCTAAGACCTGAGAACAGGGCAGTGAGAGCAAACCATCCTGAGGAGCCACTCCCAAGCCGTGAGACGCCAGGGACCCGGGGAGGCGGTGCCCAACGCTGAGCTCAGCGTCACTCTAGGTTCTGGCAAAAGCAGTCTTCCCAGGAGCCAAGCATCCTGGAATTCCTGAGAAAAACCGAGACAACCCAACAAAAGGAAGATCTGCCTGGAGAGAGAAGGGAGAAAAGCAAATATGTGAAGAGATGATCACACATGAGGAAGAAAATGTACTGAACCAAGATCTCTGTTATCAGGCACGAGGGGAGTGAGGGCGTGGGGCACTCAGTTTACCGGACGCGAAAACTCGACAGAAAACTGGAGCTCTAGTGTGCTGCCATGGGGCAGGAACAAGAAGATCCCTCAAAGGGGCCAAGCATGCAGGCGCCGGTCAGGTGATAGGGAGGGACACCGGCTATGAAGCACAGACAGCCATTCAAGCAGTGGTGCTGAGATAATTCGTACCCCAAGGGGACCCCGAAACACAGCCATTGACACTCCACACACAAAGCCAGTGTCAGAACATGAAGCTTTTGGAAGAAAACGAACAGAATATCTGTAAGACTTGGAGTAGGGGAAGCTCTAAAACCAGAAGCAACAAAGCTCTACTATAAAGTATGATTGATAAATTTACCATTAAAACTGAGGACATGTGTTCATAAGAAATGCCACTGAGAACCTAAAATGAAGCAGGGTGCAGTGGCACGCACACACCTGCCATCCTAATTACTCAGGTCACTGAGGCAGGAGGACTGTGAGCTCAAGACCAGCCTGGGAAACACAGGGAGGCCTTATCTCATAAGTAAGGGGCTGGGGGTACAGCTCAGTGGTAGAACATATGCTCAAGGCCCTAGATTTAATTGAAAGGAAGGAAAAGAAAGAACAAGGTACAATTTGGGAGAAGATATTTGCCAAATGTATAACAGAAAATATTCAGAAGCTTTCGAAAGGTGAATAATTTGACACTTAAGAAATTTTAAAGATACAGCCACACGTGGGATGCATGCTTGTAATTCCAGAGACTTGGGAGGCTGAGGTAGGAAGATTGCCAGTTTGAGGCCAGTCTGGGCAACTAGGCAAGACCCTGTCTCAAAAAGGGCAGAGGATGGAGCTCAATGTATTGAGTACTCCTGGGTTTAATCTCTAGGACACCCCCACCCCAAAATTGAAATATACATAGACAAAGAAAAATAACAAGAAATAAGAACAACAGCTTGTAGAACATGAAACCTACAACCAGAGTCTTAACATTTTTATCAGTCTAATCATGATGTTATACCAAATAAATCAGTAAAAATGAAAAATTCGATAACACCAAAGGTCATTAAGGATTTAGATCAACAAATCAATAGAAACTCATTAAGTAAATATAATCCGCATAGGAAACAAAGTCAAACATTTGCTTACTCCAACAGAGCTCTTTCTACTCTTAGATTGATATTCTAGAGAAATTCTTGCACATGGGTAGCAAGACACACACAGGAATGCTTAGGGCAATAGGTTTACAATGGCAAAGACAGGCAGACAAGCAGGAAGAAAATGAAATAAACACTTATCAACAAGCAAACAGACTTAAAATTTTGGCAGATTCATGTTATGAATTATAAAACACCTACACACAACATAAATCCTAAATATAAGGAGTGGAAAATATAAAGAGTGGAAAACTACGAGTTTCAAAAGACTATCAACAGTAGGATTCCTTTCTTGTAAAATAAAATAATCTAAACACATTGTTTAGGGGTGCCCACATATAAGACTGTTTATTCAACAAGAGGCTGGTGTGCCCACACTTGTAGCAGACAGGGAGCTGAGATGTGGAAGACACAATGGCAGGGGGGCTTTAGGTCCTGACTTGGGTGGCGGGTTTAAACGTGTCTACTTTACTATGATGATTCATGATCTACTGCCTTTTTTCTTTTGCATGAATCACTTAACATACCCTGAAAAATCAAGAGGTGTTACACACACAAAAATCCAGCCTGGGATCCTGAAATGCAATGGTTCAGTGTAAACTGAAAGATGTGGGGGAAGCTAGAAGTAATTATTAGAATGTGTGGCTTTCCTTACCTAACACCATTTAAATGTTACAGATTTGCATCTCACATCTAAATGCACTTATATTGCTACAATAAATCCCAAGGCCAAGATCCTATTATACAGCAGTTTTTACTTTTAGAACTAACTTATAAAAAAAGCTTGGAACCTTAATTATGACTTCAGAAAACATTGTTATAAAATCTTAATTTTGTTTTAAAAAGTAACATAATTTCAGATACATCATTACAAAACCTTAAATTTGTCTTTTTTAAAAATTTTTTGACTACATTGTAATTGTCATAAAACTTTATCCTAAAAGTAATATAACTCCTCAGAACACATTGTAAACGTTACAAAAGTTTACTCTGTAAAGTAATATAAAACAGGAATACAGAAAAGAAATACAAAAGGACGGTAAGAGCATGGAACTTCTGTTTTTCATGGGAAAAAGGTAAATACTGTCTGAGTTGATGCAGTAAGAAGTGGGGTGGGGATGTTCAGTTATATCACCAACAGTCACAATGGTATTTAGGGAGGAAAGTCAATGCTGGCTGACAGATGTGAGGCACTGGCTGCAGGGAAGACGGATTCTTTTTCCCTGCGCGTATCCTGTACTGCACAAGGTCCACATGGCTGCTGAGCCAGCACCTGTGCACACGGGAACAGAAGGTCCCAGCCTCACATGTGTCAAGAGGTGTGGCTTCTGAGAGCACAGGCTGACTTCACATGAGCAGAGATCCCTTAATTTTTCACAGGTTTAATTTTAACTCAGATGTTATTCAGAAACACTTCCAAACCCAGGTCTAGGGTTTTAGAATTCACTTTTAAAAATCCTCTCTAAGCTGTAGAAATAGGAAGATGAACCCAGAGCAGACCTGAGGGTGTCACAGAGTGACCCTACTCTCTTGGCTAGTTATGAGTCCAGAGGCACAAGGTCCCCCACCTCCCAAATACAGAGCTCTGCAAATGCACTCCTTGCTCTTCTGGGTGAACCTCTGGAAGCAACCCTCTGTCCCACCTGAACAACTGTACATACTGACCATGTACAAGAACAGAACCAGCTTTTCAAGGGGATCCAACCAGTAGACAACAGACCAGCAAACATGAGGACTTCAGGCCTGGACACCTGAAGTACTGAATCAACCCACCCTGAAACCTGCCTTCCTCTAGACTTTGGGCCTGACAGCCAGTTGTCTTCCTCTCTGTCAGACCACCCTGAGCACACAGCTCTGTGTCTTGCATCAAGGCAGTCTAATGAACACATAAAACGACAGCTACTTGGATGGTGGGCCCCTGGAGTCCAGAATGGTGGGGAAAGGCTTGGGAGGTGCCAAGGCAGCAGAGCCCTGCAAGCTGAGTGAGGCCGTCCGGACAGAAGCACAGGAGTTGGGTGTGCAGAAGGACAGGGGAGAGGAGCCTGGGGAAGCCTGAATAACTCCCAGGGCTTCTTAGGCCTGACTAAGGAGCCTGGATTTTTATCCTAAAGATTAGCTTTAAGGGATCAACAGTTAAGGAAAAACAACCTGCTATGCATTTTACAAAGATAATTCCAGGGGCAGTATAGGGGCAAGGCTGGGAGGAAGAAAGGTCACAGCAATTCAAGTCAGAAACTGTGAGGTCTTAAAATGAAGATCATAGCAGAAACGTGGAGAAGGGAACCCAAAAGAGAGGAACAGACATGGAATTGGCTGGATTTGCTGAGCAAGGAGATACGTGTGCAAGTACCCCAAGTTCTCAGTGAGGCAACTCCTACGCTCTGAGAAAAGGAAAAGCAGGGAAGCCAGGCCTGGGGGCGAAGCCTAAGGTGAATGGGGCATTCAAGTGCTGAGGTGGGGCGCAGAGCTCACTCCTCGCACCGAGTGGCAAGACGGCGGCGCTGGGGTGCAGCTTGGCGCAGGACGCGGACTCCGTCAGCCTCGCAGTAGCGCAGGCTACGAAGGAGAGAACTAAACGCGCAAAGCCACCCCCAGGCCAGGAGACCGAGAGCCTGGGTGGCTTCCTCGGACCGGGCGGGTTACCCTGCAAGGACGCTCGGGCACGGGCGGCCCGATGCGCGGGGCAAACGGCCAGTGTCCGCCGCGCCGCGGGCCGGGGCCGTGACCTGCGTACAGGGACAGGCCGCAGGCCGTAGGGGCCCCTAGGCCTACTGCGCCCGCAACCGGCTCTAGCTCTCCGGAGCAACGGCGTTGGTCTCACCTGGGTCGACGAGGATCACACCGCCAAAGGCCCTTCACAGAGCTGAGAGCCGACCGCGCTTCTAGCCCACCGGCCAATACCAGAGCGAGTCGTATCGATTGACAGAGGCCACGGGCCAACCACGGTTGCCTGTGGGCGGAACTCAGCGAGCCAGAACGGCGGCGCCCGCGCAAACGGTTGCTAGGGACGCACCGAAAAACCCCTACGGCACCTCGGAGGAGCCAAAAGAGAAAGGCGCCTCTGACCCGCGACTCCGTGGACGGCATTTTCTCCAGCCGTAGGATCGAGGAAGGTGAGCGGCCAGCAGCTCGCCTCGCGGCGGCCTCGTCCTCAACACCTGGGTCGCAGACCGAGGGCAGAGTAAGCAGCGGCCGGCCAACGTGCTGGTGCTAGCCCGCGGCCCTTCCCGCCCTGCGCTGATCGTCCCCTGAAGGCAGCCTTTCGCACGAGTGAATCCGTGCGCGGACTCCCGGAACACTGGTCGCTCTGGCCCCTCAGCTCATCGTGCAGATACAAGTGCGAGTCTCCCGAGTCCGAAAATCACGTGCTGCCTGCCGCACCTGCAGCCAGAGATCGCCTGGCCGCAGGCCCTCTGCGCCTCCAGGGCGGGCACCGGGACGAACCCACGAGCGCGGAACAGCCCGCGTGCGGCCTGACGCCCCACCGGCACGCCAGCTTCCGTGCAGCTCCTAGCCCGAGCCCTGCTAGCCCAGGAATCCTGCGGGAGGCGGGATCCCTCCTGAGGAACTACGGCTCCCATGAGGCGTTGCGCCCGCGCAGGCGCGGGGGAGTCGCCGCGACGGGACCTGATTGGCTGGCCAACGCGGAGCCGGGAGCTCTGATTGGCTGAGGGTTCTGAGGCGACAGATTCCGGAAAGGGGGAGAGCAGCCAATATGGCGGCAGAGCGAGGCGCCGGGCAGCAACAGTCGCAGGAGATGATGGAGGGTGAGCGGCTCCTGCGGGCGACGGGCGGCAGGGGTCCGGGGGGATTACGGCGAGTTGGCACGGCCCCTCACCCAAGAGGAGCTTGACGTCCAGGGCACCGCCGCAGAGCCCTGACAGCTGCCCGCCAGGCTAGAAACAGAGGGGACATTCGGACCCGGGGAGCCCTGGCCCGAGGGCGGCAGCGGCCCGAGGACCTTAGCCGAGAGGAGCGAGCTGCGCGAGCCCGGTCCGGGGGTGGGAGCCGGCGGGGACCGGCGGCGGTGGGAGCCCGGCCCCGAACCTCCGAGATTGACAGGCCGGACGCGGTCCTCCGTCGGCTCAGGCGCGGGCACCTGCCGGGAGTGCGCGGTGTGTTCTCGTGGCTGGGGCGGACCAGGGTCCTTTCTAGGAAGTGAACGGGTTGTGCAGGGATGACGGGGAGCTCCAGAGACTGAGTTGTACAAGGCAAGGCCTGTTTCCCACATGATCATAGTCACGAAAAGACTAAATTCAACTTTCTTCCTCCTTTACCACTTTGTTGGAGTTGTATTTTACAGTTACGTGTGTCTGTACGTTATACATACGCATGTATTTGTCCTCGGTTGCATGTATTCTTTATTCCTACATGCGTAGACTTGTGCGTCCGCACACTTGTTCCCAGTCAGAGAACCAATCGTTTCTTGGAGTGCTTCAATGCTCTTGATTCTCCAGACCTCCAGAAAAGCAGTCACTGCCTCATGTGAAAAGTGCTAGGGAAGTGGGTCACAGAGATAGGAGGGAGGGTGCAGAAGGAAGGACTGGCGTGTTCGGGAGTGGTGAAGGCTGCTTTGAGCTGGACCTTGAAGAATCCTTAGACTGCAGTAGGAAGAGTTGGGGTGGGAGGAATCAAATGTTATTCCAGCCAGAGGAATCCCTGTCAAATAAGAAGTGGGGTGGAGGAGAGTTTGAGCCAGGATGACCACCATACATGATGTAGGTGGGGGTGGCCAATGAGGCTGGCCAGGGAAGATCACACCAAAGTTCCTGGACTTTGGATATCCTTGAATCTTTTTAAGCAAGGGATGCCTTTTCTGTATCCCTCTTCCCACCACTCCCCCAGCCACTCCTTCTCCCACTTCAGCTGTTTCCATTTCTTGGTAAAGGGCAAATACAAAAGTCAGACTTTTCACTGTTCTACTCCCACATGTGTCATTACAAGCCCTGACACTTCTACTGCTTTAGTAGTTCCAAATCCTCAACACCTCCTCTGTTCTTACTGCCAATGCCTTAACTGAGACCTTCTTTTTCTCAGGGCAATTGTATTGCCAGCCCATTGTACCAGCCAGAGCTGCACAGTCACTTTCTTTGCTGATCCTCTGTCCCACACTTTACACTCTCTGTTGCCCTCAGGATAGAGTCACAGGTTGCACACTGGCTGCCCCTCCTCTCTCCTGGGAGGTGTGCAGAACCTGCTTTCCCTGACCCTGGACCACAGAGTGGCTAGCAGTCACTTATTTGTTAAATTCTCCTGCATGTCATACACATGTAACTGCTCTTGTGACTTTTCTAATTTAATATTGATAGCAGCACTGAGGTATGGGTACTCTGCTAGCTCCCCCTGCAGATGAGGATACTGAGACTTGGAAAAGAAAATGGTTTGCCAAAGCTATGTCTCTAGGAGCAAGCTTTGCAAACTCAGGGAGAGCCATTGATATTCCAGAAACTTCTGGAATCATGGATCAGATTCCCACACAATGGAGAATAGATTAAACCGAGCAAGACAAGCCATAGAGAGACGAATTAGGGAGGCAGGGCAAGATCCCAGGCCCCGGGCAAGAAGTGGTTGAGCCAAGGCAGCTGCCAGGTCAGAGAAAAAGGAATGGATGTAATTTTTAGAAGGGCTTGTTTTATCCACTAGTCCTTTCCTGTGTATGGTTTGTATTTCCTGCAGAGCCGAGCAAAGATGAAATGGAACTTCACCTCAGAGAACACACCCCTCTGTAGACTAAGCCATAATCAGAACACTTTCCGTGTGATTGATAATTCCATGTAATTTGTTGGTGTCTCAGACCTTCCAGACAGGCTTCCAAGAGAGGTCATGGAAAATGTTATGAAAAGGAATAATTATCTAACAACCTTGCCAGAGAATTTTTACTAGCCTGCCACATTTAGTCATTGCCTTTTTCATTAACTCAAAAAATATTTTTTTACCAGCCTTTAAAACCCTTGAGTTGGTAACTCTCTGTCCAGTGACACTTAACTTCGGTGACCTTCGCTGGAGTGTAGCGGTATGGGTGCATTCTTATTTTTCATTAAAGCTCCTCCCTGCCCACAGTCTGGTTTAAGTTAGTCTTGATTTCTTTCAGGATGTGGTTCTGTGCACTGATTTCTTGACCAAATGGATAGTGGAATGTGGGTGAGATGTGTGGCCAGAGGGTCACAATGATCCGCTGTGGTTTGTATCTAGGCCCAAGTGAGAGCTGCCCAGGATGCACTTCACCATGTGGCTGTTAACACCTGTGAGCACAGAGGGGTCTGGGGCTTTCTGAACACATGGCAACTCTTCACAAGACCCTGAGGGAAAGAGTATTATATTATTCGCCCAAGTGTCCAGGTGACCTTCTCACTCTGCCTCCAGTTCTCCCTGCCACTGCGTGCCTCAGATGGTGCTGAGACACAAATCGTCACCAACAGAACTCAATCACTATTTCTGAGTGAGGTCTTGCTGACTGACAACTGAGTGTTAGCCTATTAACATTCCTCATGGGCATGTAAAGTGGACTGAATTCTCACTGATACACATGGGTTCAGTTGACAGGCGGGTGGAATCCGAAGAATCGGGTGATGAGGAAGGAAAGAAGCGCAGCAGCGGCCTTGTGGCAGACCTCAGCGAGCAGAGCCTGAAGGACAGAGCAGAGCGTGGCGAGGAGGACCCAGAAGGTACTGGGTGCAGCCACGAAACCTAAGCTTACCGTGACGGCAAGTGTGTCTGTGTGGATGACAGCTGTGTGGCATGTGTGTCCTGCTCAGGTGGTATCTTGCCAGTCCTGAGAAGGAGTGCTGTGCTCCACGGGTCCTCAGTGGGCTGGGGCAGGTAGGCATGCTGTTGGGAGCAGTCTGCCCTGGGGTGATTCCTTAGCCAGCTAACTCACCTGTGGTGCATGCAGGAAGAATGTAGTTCGGACTGCACTGATGGCAGTGTGTCCTCTGGCACAGAACCAGAGGATTCAGAACCGAGGTATGATGTAGACACAATGGCTGACCTATCACAGTAACAGTAGCACTCAGTTCTTGCAAAGTCATTTCTGACCCTGCTTCCTCATGTCCCCAGGCCTGGGAGTCGGGTAGGTGGTGGTTAGGATGGTCACCTCCGTAGAACCAGCCACACGGCTCCTGAGCAGTCCGCACCCTCCCAGCTGTGGCGCTCACCTTTCTGCTGGTTTGCGTTAGAGAGAATGAGAGAGACCACATGAACACAGAGAGGCGTCTGAGACAGATGATTAAGTTTAAAAAGGCGAGTTTCTGAACAGTATACATGTCAAAGTCATATTTTCAGTTTAAAAATATGAATATGTAGTTTTTCCTACTTAAAAAAGAAAACGCGTCCGTGTTGCTGAGGGTCTCTGGATGATGTGACTTCAGCCTTCTGTGTTTTCCAGACTCGTAGGCAATGTATAGATTTTTTAGGTGTTCATAATCACACATTACCCTTATATATATAAATAAGTTTATAAAAACAAAGCTGATTTTTAAAATAGGATTGTGCTCTCTGTGCCAGCAAGATGATTGGTAACTATGGCAACTGAATTTTAAGGCAAAAGGAGATTACCACAAAAATACCCATCACATTTAGTTTGAAACTTCAAAGTCTGTTCTACAAGTGACGTGGGTGGATAAAGCCATGGGCACGGATGTCATCATCTGACTCAGTCACGAAGGGCTCTGGCATGTGCTCGTGCTAGCAGTCTGTGGGGGACTTGGAAGTTGTAGCAGCTGGGTCCTGGACTTCTCCGTTCCCAAGGTAGTGATGTCATCTTGGTGGATCATGGTAACAAGGCTCTAATTTGGGGTAGATGAGAAGAGTAAGACACCCCTCGCTTGCCCAGAAGGCACATTGCTGGGGGGTGGGCCAGCT